ATCGGCAGCAGTATAAACCATGTCGTTCTTTAAGTTCGATGCTTCTGATCTTATCTTTGGAATTGAAATAAGGTAACTCAAAGTCTAGACAACAACGTACAAGCAGATATAATTTGTTATGCTCGTGACTTACATATATATAACAGAGCCAAGGGATTAAAAAAAAAAAAAAAAAAGATCGAAACACAAACGTTTGAGGTAAGGAGGTTCCTTCACCTGCAGGAAAGGAGATCCAGCTGACTCTAGTCTTTCTGGATCTCAAACTGAATCTAATAATAAACGTAAGTGAAAAGTACCTCAACTTGCTTCAACATGATAGCCAAATGGAGAATGCAAGTTGTTGCCATCCGAGTCTCCTTCAGTGAGCAGGTCATTGGGGTCATGAGTATCCAAAGCCACCAAATCTTCAAGAATCTCCAAGTGGTTGTGCATCACACACAAGTGGAAAATATTTTTCCCTTGTCATCATGCAACTTCAAAGACTCTGGCTTTGCTCTAATCAGCTCCAACACAACCTCTCTTCTTCCTCTTATAACAGCGCAGTGCAGAGGGATTCTGTGTTCTGGGTCACGAACCAAGCATCCCTCTCCACGAGCAAGCAACAGTTCCTTCACAATGTGGATGTGACCTTGTGCAGAAGCCGAGTGAAGAGGTGTGCTTCGAAATGAGTCCAACTCAAGGGCAAGCTGGGAACGGTGAGCAAGAAGGGTTTTGGTACATTCAAGGTGGCCGAGTCAGGCTGATATGTGTAAGGGAGTTTCAAGGAGGGTTCTTCGTGAGCATAGTGTATGCAAGATCAATGAGTCTTGCCGAAGTAGGGTTTTCAAAGTTGAATCAGAGCCATTTTGTGATGCATCGTATAGATCCGTTTTTCTCTTTTCTCCACTGTTATCAGCTATTACTACTTCCATTTTCGTTTGTTGACGTGGCTGTGTGCGTTTGCTTGTTAACTATTTATAGACCAACCACCAGCTGCCAAACCAATGCTCAACAAAACGTTCTCGTCCTTATCAACAGAAAATCAATACAAATTGTTAAAAGTATTAATCAATGGTCTGCAAATTAGTGCATGAGTTTAGTTGGCAAGATATGATTTTGTTTTAGAAAACCCAGAACAAGAGAGTCCGCATGCCCTCCTCATAATTGGGCATGCTCGTCCCATAAACAGCAGCGTTTGGGATGAGCCAGGAAACCCTTTTTTGTAAAAAAACTTGTGTGCCTTTTATTAATTTTTTTTATTTGGGTTAAGTTGTATTCATCAATACTCTGAATTATTTTTTTAGCAACACCCAATATTCTAAATATTAATTTTGGTGCAGTTTAAGCTTAGGATACTGAATGCCATTAGAAAAATATTCTAGGGTGTTTGATTGCATAAAAAATTGGCTTATAATACTAAGTGCTACTGAGAAAATAATTCAGTGTGCAGGATACATCAAAAATTAATTGATTGAAGATACTAAGTAATACTAAACAATATTTTATTATACTAGGTGCTATTAAGAAAATAATTTAGTGTGCTAAATACAACTTAATCCAAATAAGTAAGAAAAATTAAAAATTAATAAAAAGTTCAAAACATTAAAGGTGCAATTTTACTCCAATCTTATTTTTCGTGAGCACCCCAATTTTCTAATAATATAATTTTGCCCATAGTCTTTTTCTTTTTGATGTAATTTTACCCATGATCTTATTTTCTTGGTGCGATTTTACCCTTAATCTTTGATGCACAAAAAAAAAATCATGGGTAGAACTGCGCCATTAAAAAGATCCAGTGTTGTGTGATCAGGAATAAATTTGTATTTAAAAAAAAAAAACAAAAACAAAGTACGTCAGTCATCCCCAAACACTGCCGTTTGGGGGATGAGGACCCCCTGCTCATTGATTCCACAGGGAGGGAATGTGGATTATCCGAGAAAGAGGACCAAGTTAGTATAGACAAGCAAGTTTGGCCTAATTTCAGAAATTAGGACTGAGTAAGAATTGAGGAGTGAGGAGGGAGAAGGGAAGCTGAGAGAGGGAGAGTAGACCGACGACTGACCTGAGGACAGAGGAGGGAGAGACTGGAGACTGGAGAGAGAGTTCGAGTTCGAGGCGATAGCTCTCTGTGTCTGGGGGAGGGAGGGTGAAGTTTCTTATAGAAGCAGGTTTGAAGTTTGAACGTTTATGCAGTTGATTGGACACTGGACTGTTTATTCAAAAAGGAAATTTATTTTAAAACTATAATTGTTAGACATGACTTAAAACAGTTACGATAGTTGTCATGTTCTGCCTTTCATTTCGGTTTTATTTAAATAAGATAGTTTTAGTAAATATCAGCAAGCACCCACATGCAAGTTCCTGTAATAACATACAAGTTGTTACTTGTGTTATTGATTTACAAAAGCAATAAAATATAATCATTGGGAGACGACCCATCACATGCTTAATAATATGCTCTTTTTTTTTTTTTATCTTTATTAATAACAACATGCTTCCAGAATATATTGAAGCCGGCATTGCTGGGACTCCAAAATTTATACTGCTCAACAATGATATTGGTTAGGTTAATACTTTACTGGGGAGGCACTATTATTATTATTGTTATTATTACCTTCAGTCATCAAGATAAGATCTACTTATTAGCTAATTTTAAAAAGGTAAGAAAATTATTAAATTACTTTAAAATATTTATATTTATCATTTTTCTTCAAACTAATTTTTCTCATTTACAAATTGATATATAATCTAATGATACACATAAGTATCTCAAAGAGATCATGTAACATCTATTATAATTAAGTAATTTAGTAACTTTCTTAATTTCTTTAAATTAGTTAATTAGATCTCGTCTTACTTTATATCTCTAAATTAGTAATTTAGTTTTTTTTTCCTACGAAGCACATGTATCTTACTAGTGGAAGCAATTATATTCAAGACACTATTGGGTACTAATGTCATTAGCACCTCTTCTAATAGGGATACGAATTTTAGTTTACTAATTTGTGAGGGACTAATTTTTTTCACTAGACCTAATCCCTAGTGAGGGAGGAACGACTCTGCAAAATTCTCTGATATCTCTATCGATGACAGCCCATACGTCCTGCGCCGAGTAGTAACTTATTTCGCCCCACTAGTAACTTCCTCCTGCTTCTCATTAATGCAAAGCCCATTCATTACATAATTGAATTATTGCGTGCGTGTGTCTCTTGAGCTCGTGGATGATGGCTGATACCAAAGAATAATCTCCAAGCATTTGTTAATGGAGCTTTATTCAAATAACTTAAAAATAAAAAGCCTATTTTCTCTTGAGTCTCTATCTATTCCGAATAATTCTTCATTCTTAATTTTCTGCACATTCTCTTTTTTTTTTTTTATAAGAGATGAATTACTAGTTGTTAAAATTCAAGAAATAGAGTTAAAATCAGTTGGATTCAATAAATATGTTAACAGATGTCAATTTCTTTACCAAATCACTCTCATTTAATGATTGACTATAACGATTTTTAATAATTGATTCTTTGAAGAAATATTTTTTAATGAGGTAAACAATAATGAATAATCTAACAACAGTTTTTCCACAAATAAGATATAGAAAACACTTCAAAAGTTGGGCAAGGGGTGTCTCCATTTCCTTTTTCATCCATTTTCACCTACTTCTCATATCAGCCATAGGATTAAGATTTTAACAGTTTAGATTTTATATTTTTAAAATTATGAATAAAATGTTAAACTTTCAAAAATAAAAAAAAAATCAAATAAAACTACTAAATTTTAATGAGTATAATTCAAAACAATAATAAAAAATATTTTATAAAACTATTTTCAAAAACATGAAATCTGGACTGTTAAACTTTCACTCTCAATAGTTGAGATGGAAAGTGGATGGAAATAGAGAGGAAGAGAAGTAGAGAGACTCTTTACCCTCAAGATTTCTCTTATTTGAAGGATGCAACAACACGTCTCAGTATTTTAATCTCCCATCATATTTGGATGTAATTGAATAGTGTTAAAAAGATGGCACATTTGCTCTATAACTAGATATATAAATGGACTGTGCGATGATAATAAACTTCATTATTCATGATGTAATAGATCTAATGCTGGATTCCAATCAATTACCAACTCCCACTTGCAAAACCGACATCAGGAAATTAAAATCTTGTGGAAATGTCAGAGCATTTAGAACTTCCAAGTAAGTAAAACTAACTCAGATTAACTCTAGAAAGAAGCATCAATTCTTATGTTTGGCCCAAGACTATGACAACATATTCTAAAGATCCCTAACTACTATGGTTCTCATGACAAAACACAGTGGCATCATATGTTGTCGTTGCCGATGCTAGGATGAATCTGACGCTTGAATTCTCTCAACTTTTTTCTTGCCTTGCCAAATAGTCAGGCGCCGTGTTATAAGCAGAGCAGCCACCCCAAGGAAGCCAATCCAAATCCTCAGTGATACTCTAACCATCTTCTAAGCTGAGTCAAAAATTTCACCAGCTGGGGTTACCATATAGAGGCCATTAATGTAGGTGAGTGTCAAGAATGTGAGAGTTATCCACATAGCAATCGACAACATCCACATCACAGCCTTATGCTTGAGAGGAACCCCACTTACGAGTATGAGGACGACACTGGGAGATGAAATGAAAGCTATGGTATCGTACTTTAAGCAGGGATGAAAATAAGGTGGGTAATTAATTGCTGATACTGCATCTCCAGGGCATGCCTTGCCACCAGTTTTGTATTTAAAGCATCCAAGTGGATCATCATGATCTTCCGGATTTATAAATTGCTGAACGAAACCACGAGGAGGGTTATTTACAGCTTGAAAGATTATGGCTGAGATTACTGTAGCCACCAGACTCAAATTGCCTCTCATCTCTTCTAACCAATTCCCACTGTGCTTCAAGTTATGTTCCATGATCTTTATAATCTTTCTCCAACCCTTCTGCGGGATAGTCGTTGAAGGTGGAGGCTGGAGAGGACTTTCCATTTTGCTGTCTTGAATCTTTTTTTTGCTAGAATTCATCAACATGAGTTGCATGTGAAGGCTTTTGGAGACTTTCTTGTGATCTGTAAAACCCCGTCTCATTTTGCACGCTTGCAGCTTCTCTTATTGCTGGAATTAAAACGAGGAACCTTACGATCTACACAGTAATAATACAGCAAAAATTTTATGATCAGTAATACAGTAATAGAGCGCAACTTTGAAAATAACACAAAAGTTGGAAAAATTACGTCAACTTGCTTCAACATGGCAGCCAAATCTAGAGTAGTGTTATCATCCAAGTCTCTCAAACTGAGGAGCATGCGAGCCTCGATATCGAAATCCATCAGAGCTTTAAGAATGTCCAAGTGACTGTACATCACAGGCAAGTGGAAAACATATTTCCTCTTATCAAGGATCCACAGTGATTCTGGCTTTGCACTAATTAGCTCGAACACGATATTTGTTCTTCCTCTTATAACTGCATAATGAAATGGAATTCTACCTCGTTGATCAGGAATCAAGCATGCATGGTCACGAGCTTGCAATAACTCCTTCACAATGTGGACGTGGCCTTCTGCAGAAGCTAAGTGAAGGGCTGTGCTTTGAAAGGAGTCAAACTCAAGGGCAAGTTTGGGTTTGTGAGTAAGAGGGAGTTTTGTGAATTCAAGGCGGCCAAGTAAAGCTGATATGTGTAAGGGAGTTTCAGTGAAGATTGCTCTCGAGTTAATTTTGTGTAGGATTAGTGGATCTTCCTGTATTGGTGTGTTTAAGACAAAAACACACCCTTCGTATGATGCCTCATAAAGAACTCTCTTGTTCTCATCTTCATGAGGACTACTGGTTTCCATTTTCATCGCAAGGACCACGCCCGGTTGAGGATAACTAGTGCTCCAATTTATTAGGACGGTCTTACTGGCTTTTTTCTATACATAGGACAGTCTCAATGGTTTCTTTATTAATTTATTCTCCACTATCCAAAAGTTTAGCTTTTTAAGCTTTAAACTATTTCACGTGTTCATCAATACGGAGAAAAGAATGTGTTAAAGCATCAGAACACCAGCATTAACTAATTTGAGCTCACCAAAGAAGACTTTGAAAATGAGCTTAGACGTATCTTAAAGTGATTTAGGTAAATTTAAACATGCGTAATTTAATCAACGACCATTTTCCTGTATGAATTTTAAATAGCCTTGATTGGCCTTTTTAATTTTGCTTTAATCTTTAGTCGTGTATCTCCCACTATGTCTAACTTTCAAAAATTTTTCACATGACTCTCATTTGGGGAAAAAATAATAATCAAACTCTAAGAGAACTTTCTAGTTTGATAATTAGTAGTCTTCGTCTTGATATGAAGCCGTGTTGGGTAGCATATGAAAGCTCTTTCCAGGGGAAAGAAAAGATGAGAGGGAAATAAGGGTTGGGCTTTCCATGGAGAACCTTGTGTGTGTGTGGGGGTGTGTCTAAAATATGTTTAGTTGACATGAAATAGAAAGAAAGTTATTTTTTTTTTGGTACGAAGGCATGAAGTCTAAAAAAGAAAGAATGATATAACTGAATTGCATATTCGTCACCGTTTTTTTGTCGTGCTTGTTCTTATTTTGGTGGGAAAAAAAATCTTCAGTCAAGAACTGAGGATGAGAGAAGATGAATTCAAGATGGGAAGCAGTAAAAATAAAAATAAAAATGGAGGAATTAAAAACAATTTCTACCACATGAAATGCACCATTACTAGTTTTCCGCATCAGTGGTTTAATTAACAGTCGAGCTCGCATATCCTGTGATCAATAATGTAGTACTCCCTGACCGATCGGTACTTATTTAACTATTCAACTTAACTTTTTGTTACTTTTTTATTGCCAACGACATCTAATTAACACTACCTCACGTCCTTAATATAAAATTCAGATAACTAATTTGAAAATATTAAAAAATTAAATAAATTTCTTTAAGGTATGTATACATGATTTTCTTTCAAACTAATTTGCTTAACTTATAAGTTGATATAAAATCTAATAACACACTCAAATATTTCCAAAAAATCACATAACATATATTATAATTAAGTAATTTATTTAGTTTTTTTTAATCTATCCAAATTAGTCAACTAAATAGAAGGTAATAATATTGATCTAATTTCCTTATTCCCAGTCTGGGACGTGGAGAGTATAGTCAGTGTATGGGAGTCCTTCATCCCAGGAATGGGTAAGAAAGTGAACAATGGCAACAGTACTCATTTTTGGTGGGATAATTGGATACCCCTTCAGGAACCACTCATTGATTTTGTCTCCCAATACTTGAATGAAATAGAGCCAGGAGCTTTGGTAAGGGGCTTTGTCCTACGAAATGGTAACGGGAATGTAGAACAGTGGAAAAGATACTTTCCTCCTTGGATCATAAATTTCCTGATGAAAATTAACCCTCCTACAAGTGATAGAGAAGATGAATTTATGTGGAGAAGTGTTTCAGACAGGAAATTCTCTGTTGGAGCAGCATACCTATTCATAAAAGGGAACTAGTTTGGGACGACTTGTAATTTTAAACTTGTTCTTACCCTGGACGATTTTTTTTTGTTGCCCATCCAGTTCACTGGAACTTTGCTCCGACTACATCTGAATCCAACCCGGGTCGGGCACCTAGCTGTGGTGAATGAGTCTCCCGATAGGGATTTCTGTATACACTGAGGCTCAAACTCAAGACCTCGCTTAAGCGATACCAAGCCGTTTACCACTTGGACCAATTCCTGTTGGTTACCCTGGACGATTTTAAATACGTTGTCTTGGTAAATACTTTTAATTGTATGGGATCTGAGGGATTTTTTTTACTGTTTACGGTATATATATGAGTGAAAAAAGCCTCCAAATAATCGAATTGTGTAGTTTAAAAAAACTGTTAAAATTAATTAAAAATAATAAGTATGTAAAAAATGTATTTTATTTTTTAAATATGCCTTATTTATAGGGGGTAGGTAAGAGTGAGGGAAAAAAGATAAGAGAATGTATGAAAAAAAAAGATAATGAAAAATATATTACTTAAAGATAAAATTAGTAAAAATGTATTTAATATTTAGACAAATTCAAAATGGATTTTATAGTAATTATAATTTATCTCTTTAATTTTTTTTAATCTAAAAGAAATAATGACACATGTATGGTTGACGATAATTTTTGCCAGTTGTGGTTCTTATGAAACAGCCTCTAATAATTCCACACAAAAGACGGGTCCCACCAAATATTTGGTCGCAGAAGGTCAAAAGATTTGGTCGTAAAAGAAGCTGGAATCAAATTAATAATTAATAATTCCCAAATAAAAAAGATTTATTTAGTGAAAAGTCGAGATGATGCTCATGAAGTTAACTCCAAACGAAAGTCTAAGCAATATAGGTGTCTATTATTAATTTGCCGGTTTATAACCAACAAACAGGCAATTTTATCAAAATATTATAAACAGTAAAAATAATTACCCAAAACCCATATGCTATACTTTCACATTTTTTTAAAGTGAAAAAGTGAAATCGTTCGGGCCAGAGCTCAACTATCTCCATTTTTATTTTTGACGGAAATTACAACAGAGGACCCAATTTCAGCAACCTCGGCCTGCGTCCCTTCGTTTAAAATTGTGGAGCAAATTACCGTTAAGGACCCATCCTCATCATATCTGCTACTCATTTTCTTTTACCCAGCATCTTCTCCTAAGTAGAATAAATATTAGTAGATTTTGTAGAAAAATTACTTTTTATCTTGGTACTTAAATTTAGAAGAAAATATATATATAAATTAAATAAACAAATATTTAAAACTTAACATGTTCATAAATTTTATGAAATAGCTAGATAAAAATATTAAAAACTTCAAGTTCTTAAAATCACTTAAAATATTCTTATTTTTCTCCAATACCCATTCTTATCTAATTTATTTTTGTTTTTCCCTGAATTATTTAGGGTAACATGACACTCTCACTCTGAAAGAAGGCCCTAGTAGGGGGTGAAGGTTGGCTTAGTGGTTCAGTAAGTGGGGCGCAAGGCGCGCTCCCGCCACGAGGTCCTCGCTTCGATACCCCACCCGCCCTCTTTGGGGGCAACCCCGGATTAGTCTGCCCACGATACGGGTGGGATACCGGGGGAGGCAGCGATCACATCCTACTCAAAAAAAAAAAGAAGGCCCTAGTAATATAATACTCTCATTATGATAGTTTTCAGTGTTTGTTTATTAAATTATTTTAACTGATTTTTAAGAACTTAAAGTTTTTGATATTTTTATTTAGCTATTTTATAAAATTTGTGAACCTGTTAAGTTTTAAATATTTTTTTATTTAATTTATTCATATATCTCCCTGAAATATGAATTGAAATTAAAAGTATAAACTATATTAAAAAAATGTTTAGCATGAGTAATTATATGATATTTGATATTAGACAAACTCATATATGTAGGATTAGGAAATATCATAAAAAGAGGTGGTATTCTTCAATTCTATTTATATAAGATTTTCTAATTCTATATGATAAAAAATCACTCATCCTAAATATTTTTTAACATATATTTTTAATCTTAATTCTATTTTTTATTTTTTATTTTTAATATTTCGTACCAAATATCATTTTTATGAGCATCCTAGAGCCGCATCCGGCACGGGGAGAGGGAAGGATAAAGTCAGGTCGGTGCTGTCATATCATATCACCCCCTTCTTTCGCTCACGGCTTACATCATAACTTGCCTCTGTAAAAGGCTGAGACTGGCACCCACGCCATGTTGCGTCCAAAAGAACTCGTATTTGATCTGGCGCCCTTCTCTCTTTCTTGTGTGAAAGGAATATGCTTGTCCTGGTTAAAAAAAAAAAAAAAGGAATAGGGTTGGTGTACAGTTATAAACTAATGTGCAATGCAAGTTCACAGCATCTTTCAAGTTTTTTTTCCCCCTTAAATATACACCATATAAATATATTAACGTCGGGCTAAAATTTAAAACCTTCAAAAAAATCTGTAAAGATAAAATAATATTCAATAATCATGTGTATAAAAATCAAATTAAATATATTTAATTAATTATATATTTTTAGTACTTAAAACTTTCTCCATAACAATTTTGTATAAAAAAATACTCAGGTCAAGTTTTTATATCTTTTATATCAAATTCTCCAATTAAACGTGGTCATATGTTTTATTATATCAAGTTTTTCAATCACACATGGCCGTGTGCTATATTTTTTTATGTGAGTTTATAATTAAATACTATTAAATATAAATATTTTAAAAGTAGAATACAGAGTCATGTATAATCGGAAAATTTGACATAATAGATATAAGGAACTTGATATGAATATTGTCTTTTTTTTAATAATGTATTAACTCTTTTTTTTAATAATTTTTATTTTTATTTATTATTTTTCTGAAACTTATCAAATTATATATATGAGATATATGTTAGTAAGCTTATTTTTCCATTCCTCATTTGAACAAGTTTCAATTTAACAAACTAATATTTATAAAAAATCAATGTAGATATAAATCATATTACACTAATTAATTTTTAATTTAACTAATTTTTATAAAAATTAGATAGAATAAAAGTTAATTTTTTTTACTGTTAATCTAAACACACCCAAGTTATATCAAACGTTTAAACAAACTGCAGCATACTGGCTAGCTACTGACCACGACGCACCCGCTGCCATATTGAAAAAAAATGACTACTTGAGACATTCACTCTTGTGTGTAGTTGGAAGGATCTTTGTTCTTTTTTTTCTTTTTCCTCCATTTTATTCTCCTCATCTCACCTTTATTTGCAATTATTTTTTATAGAGCTTGAAGGGTGTTTCGTATCATATAAAAATATTTCTAAAAAGTATTTTT